GGCGCCGTCAGCTCCATCCCTGCCGCCGCCTCGGCAGGCGCAAGCAGCGTCGCAGTGCCGAACCCCCAACAAGCTGAAGCCACCTGCTTGGGTGGGGCGGCGACCGAGCCTCGCCCGAGCGAGGCCCGCAACCATCCACTGCAACCCCCCGCAACCAAAGGCCAGAACTCTCGCCCACACCGCCATTCAGCAGCCGCGCGGTGCGGGTGGCGCCGGGAGCGTGGTAATGCCCCCCCCCCTTGCGTGGCGTTGTTTTGTTTGGCGCGCGGGCCGGGGTTTAGGGGTGTAAAACCCGGAGGGGTGTGGTCCGCGGCGTGCCGTCTCCCCTCTTGCCGAGTTTGGTGTAGGTGGCGTGTTGTTTTGGGTGCCTGCGGTTGCTTTGGCGTGAATTAGGGAGGGTGCCGTGGCGTTTTTTATGTTTGGGCCTTCCGCGGTTCCTGTTATTACAATGTTTTTTTTGACCGTTAAATGCCTACGTTGATGTTTGTGTTTCATCAGTGGATGCGCTTATTTATTGCGATTTCTTTTGCTTTTGATTTATTTGGTTTCTGCGTTTCCCGTTTTATACGTTTTTTTTTGTTTCCTGTTTCCTGTTTCATTTTTTTGTTTTTATGTTTTTTTCTTTTTGTGGGGGAATTCTTGGAGCAAAATGGCAACTGAGGGCGAACAGTGTAGCAAGCCTATTTTTTTTGTTTTGGGTGCGACAGGGAGTGGAAAGTCGTTGGCAGCTGTGAATGTTGCAAAAACGCTTCAACATAGATGTGGAATTATGCATGTGACAATTGTGAACTGTGATGTTATGCAGTTTTACGCGGATCTTCCAATTGCGACAAATAAGGTTGCTTCATCTGAGATGGAGGATATTCCTCATTGTTTTATTGGTTTTCTTTCTCCCAGTGGGGTGAAAATCCGAGATCCCACTGTACCTTACAAGGGGGTTGACAAAACGGAATCTGTGTATATGGATATTTCAGAGGAAAGGGATGTGTATAATGTTCATTCATACGTGCGTGATGTTGTGGCGTTTATTAAATCTTTCTTTAGGGAACACTCTTCTGCAGCTATTGTTGTTTGTGGGGGTACATGTTACTATGCGCAGGCACTTTTGTTCGATAATACTTTGACATTGGAAGATGAGAAGGGCTTTGTAGATGAGGTGGCGATGTTAGATTTTTCAACCTCTTTAGAAAACGTTGAGGGAAAAGGTCTCTGGCAGGAGCTGAATCGAGTGGATCCTGTGATAGCTGTTCGCTACCATCCGAATGATACGAGGCGCATTTCCCGTCTTCTTGAGATTTATAAAAAATCAGGTCGTTTGCCCTCGGAAATTTACGCCACTAGGCCGGATCCTTGTTTTCGTTTTTCCCCAAAGAATTGTTTTATATTATGGATACGGGTTCCATATGAAGCATTGAAAATCAAATTAGATGAGAGAGTTGATAAAATGGTAGAACGGGGTATTGTGGAGGAATTTGTCCAGTTTGCAAAAAGAAATAATAATATCAATGACGTTGGTTTAGCAAAGGCAATTGGATTTAAAGAGTTCATTTCCGCGTTTGCGATGATTAACGGTCAAATGCGAGTAAAAGGAGAATGCGCACTAAAGAATTCTATTGATCTTTTAAGAAGCAATACCAAACGATATGCTAGACAGCAAGAACAATGGATCAGGAACCGTCTTCTTGGTCGTCTTCGCTTTGTTTTTACTTCGCTTCAAGGAACGGGGAATTTCATAGCTATTGACGCATTGAAAATGTTGTCGGAATTCATTGAAATGGTTCAAAACGCAACTGAGTTTTTGTTGAAACAAAACTTACAAATGATACAAGGAGTGACGTTGCCGCTAAATGAAATTAAAGATCCACCATCAGCAGTGAAACAAGAGTGGTGTGAGGTTTGTGAAATCTTTGTTTGTGGAGGAAATCAGATGCGGACACATATAACTTCGAAACGACATCGGGGTGCTGTGAGACACGCCGCTTTGGTGAAAGAGCAGGAAGAAAAATATGGCCGAGTGATTTCTCGTAAAAAACAACGAATGTCTTGATGTTTGTTTGTTTGTTTGTTTTTTTTTCGCTTTTATCTTGTATTTTATATATTTGGCTCAATAATAATGGCGCTATGTCATTAGCGTCCTGTTGGATGATGCTTCAAAATAATAAGAACAACAACACTGAAAAAAAAAACATTTTATTATTATTATTATTACTGTTTTTCTTCTTCGATTATATATATATGCCGATAGTCAAAGGCCAAAAGAAGAGAAATAGTATCAACAACTTTAAGGGGGGGGGAACAAAATAACAACGCCCAACATCAGAAAAGCAGCGGAGGAGTGAAAGAGATAACACTAAAAAGCATGGAGGACACAAATGCTTTTTCTATAAAGGCACAGCTGTATCTAGCTCTTGGGAGCCTTCTTTCCGGTGCAGTTTTGGTGGTTTACCTTGGCTCTCGGCGACTTTTACATTACACCCTTGAAAAAAGGGGAAAAAATCACAGCTTTGAGGAGGTCCTACATACTGATGATACATTGGCTTTGCCTTTTATGGGATCAATGGTACTCTTTCTCGCATATGTGCTTTTACGTTTTATCCCTTTAGATTATTTCAATGCAGTGATATCCTTTTATTTAAGCATTATTGGTATTCTTTCCTTGGGGTCCTTTCTAAAAGCCTACATAAACCCAAGCTTTTTTACAGGAATTTTTTGCTGTGCAGTGGGAGGAGTATACTATATGACCAACAGTTGGTTGGCGAACAACCTATTGGCTATAGCCATTGGTGTCCGGGCTATTGGCTCTGTTCATTTAGGATCATTTCAAAGTGCGTTTGTGATGCTGTTGGGTTTGTTTTTTTATGACATTTTCTGGGTTTTTGGATCTGATGTAATGCTTACCGTGGCAGGTGGAATTAATGGTCCTATTAAACTCGTTTTCCCTCGCACAATTTTTGGTGATCATAAAGCAGTGAGCCTTTTGGGACTGGGTGATCTTATTGTTCCAGGATTCTTTATTGCACAAACACTCATTTTTTCTATGGAGTATGTGAAGCGAGGCACATTTTATTTTAATATTGCTCTTGTTGCCTATACAATGAGTCTTATGAATACAATGGCTGTTATGATCTTTTTTGAACATGGGCAGCCAGCATTGCTTTTTATTGTACCTTGGTTACTCATTGCATTTTTTTGGTGCAGTTGCAGTAAAAGGCGATTTAAAGTCAGTCTTTGCCTACACGTCTGATGCCGTTACTTACCAGGGTGTGGATTCCAGAGAGGTAACAGGAGTTGATAGATCTTCCAAAGAACAGTTGGAGGAAAACGAAAAGGAAGAGACGTTTTTTGATATCTTATGGGAGGAGATACTGACCTTGTTTGGTAGGGAGTCTATAAGTGAAAATATGGATCATTCTACTCAAAAGGAGGAGGTGAAGAAAATATCAAAAAAAGAGCAATAAATTTGAAGTTGAGAGGAAAAAAAAAACACACACACACACAAACAAGACACATTTTGTTTTTGTTTTTAAGGAATTACGGCATGTATTTGCAAATGGTTGCTGTTTTTTTTTTTTAATGTGCTGATGTTTTATTGTAGCTGTTATTATTATTATGTGCGTGAGGAAACAACTTCCTTGAATGTTGACGAACTATACTAATTCCATATTATCATTAAAACGAAAGTAAGAGGAAAAGTATATGTTTTCATTTCTGTTTTAGAATGTAATAATGACTTTTTCCCCACCTCAAACTATTTAATAAAAATTTTATTAGTAACAACAACAACAACAAAGACGATTTCTATTTACGAAATCGAGATATTTTTGTTATTTTCGGGGTGGTGGAGAAATAGGAATTACTACTATTCACGGATACTACCGATATATACATCGGGACAGATTACTATAGGAAACAACTAGGTGTTGTTTGACATTGGGGCGGACGAAGGGTTGAGGAAATTTAAGGAATATTAGGAGATGCTTAGGACCTCCAGGATCAAGTTTTGTGCTGTAGCCTCTTCAAAGCCGGCCGCACGTTGCGGAGTAGCATACTATGCTGATGCGGCTTGGGAAGGGCTTCGTCATGTATATCATGGGTTTCGACTTTTTTTTATGAATACAAGGTTGGCTTGGAAGTATTCTCGTCAACTTAAGGCGGGAGTTGCCCTTACCCGTCGGGAGCGGTTGCTTTTGGAGAGTGCTACAAAGGATCTCGTTCGACTTGTTCCTTTTAGTTTCTTTATATTGGTCCCGTTTGCTGAGCTTTTGCTTCCCGTTGCACTGAAAATGTTCCCAGGTTTGATTCCTTCGACTTTTGAAACAAAAAGTCAGGGTCGTAGCCGAGCCTTTTCCGCTGCCATTGGAACACTGCGTGCACGACAGCGGGTAATGGAGTATTTATCTACCACTGCATTTGTTAGTTTCACCAAGGAACAACAAGAGACAGTGCGTTGTTGCGCATTGGGGGAGTCAGTGAATATTTCTCAGATAAGACTGATAGCTTCTCACTTTGGTCGTGATGGACCATTAAGTGTATACAACTGTCCTGACAGTGTTGCACTGGGACTAGCACGAACAGTTGGTGTATTTAAAACGTATCACGGATTTTTTCCAGCCAAAATAATGGCACCTTACATGCGTCGAAAGATCATACGTCATTATCACAGTACTCGTGAAGACGATCGATTGCTTCGGCTGGAAGGGCTTGATGATTTAACCGATGAGGAGTTGATAAAGGCTAACCTTGTCCGGGGAATGCGTTGGACGGAAGATGCCGAAACGCTCCGTATTCAGCTGGAATGGTGGGTTTCACTTTCTCGGGACGCCGAGGTGCCATACAACACATTGTTTTGGGTTAAACCCACCCGTTACAGTTTGAAAGCATCCATGAAGCGGTTACCTCTTGAGCAGCGTCAACAGCTGTTAGGTATTCAGTATCTCCCTGACACTGTTCGTGGAAATATGGAGACACTCTGTGAGACTATTGATACTGTTCCTAATTTAGGGGATGATCTTAGCGATGCCGATCGCATTGTGGAAAAGTTGGCGGATCTAAATGCCAAGACAAAAAGCAGCGATCAGGATATATCCTTTCACGGCACTCAGGTGTCCATTGGTGAATATTTGACAGAGGCAAATGTTAAGATGATGTTTGAGCGCATTCGCAAAGGTAAGACTGCGAATGAGAGCGTAACCGTGTCAGATGTCATAGATTTCATAGGAAGTGAGACACACAATTCATCTCATACAGTCTCTACTGTTTTTGACGCTTTTGATCAGGGTCAAGGAACCAAACCCATTTCAGAGGCCACTTTGGTTTCTATTGGGGCTCGATGTAGAGGGGCATCAAAGTCTAGCACTCACGACTCACTTAAAAAGCTACCTGTGACGTCGTTCTCTGATGAAGCAAAAGAAAATTAAGTGTTGTGAAATTTTTGTTTGCCTCTTGGGGGACAGGGTAAAATTTGAAAAAAAAAAAGGGAAAAAACAAGGGAAATGGAACAAGAAAATAAATAAATAGAAAAGGGAAATACAAACTAACGAAGAGCCTTGAACCGTATTTAGAAAGAACAACAAATATATTGTTTGCAGTATATTGAAAACGAAAGAGAACTCCCTCGGGAGCCTATCTTTTCCTTTGTTGTTGTTGCGCTCTGGTAGGTAAAGACAAAACTGCCTTTGACTCAATAATGAGGGCGAGGGGGAAGGGTCCTGTGGTTAATTGTAGCTCTTTCATTTTCACTTACTTTCCTTCTTTATATATATATATATGTATATATGTATATAATATACTTGTTACTGCATCATAGGAAGAGGTGTGTGGGATTTGTAGCAGGCTTGAATGACCTTTTTTTTTTTTTTTTTGGTCGCCTTGCCTTTCCATCAGTTTTTTCCTCTTCTTTGTGGCGCGTGCTTACGTGTCAGTTTGAGAAGGAGAATACGGTACACAATGTTTATGTTAATATATAACGAATAAATAACGCAAAGCAAAGCAAAACAAAAAAAAAACAACAACGTCCAATTGTAACTGCAGGTTAATGCTCCCTCACGCGTACTCTTGTAGAAACTTGTTTTGCTTCTGTTTATCAGTATTGCTGCCCCTTTTTTCTCTTGTTTTCCTTTTTTTTTTTGTTTTCGACTTCTGCCGTTGTTGGTAGTGTTGATATTTTTATGCTGATTCTTCTAGATTTACAATTTCCTTTCTTTTTTCATTACTTGCAGTGATTCCGGTAGTTTTCATTTCTTTTTATATGCGTAAGCGATGTTTGGTGGATCTGGCAATGGTTTGGACGAGACCACGCCATTGGTCACGAGTGAAGCTAGAGCTCACTGGAGAGGATTGACACACCCCGTTTTCTCCAAAACTGCGGGTGACGTAGGACAACTGTGTGATGCGGCACGACGGCATCTACGTTCCGTGTTTCGTGTAGGTGGATTGAACATTTGCATTATTGAAGTAAGCGTCGTAACAGACTCTCAGTTGAGCCGGTGTTTGCCTAGGTTTTTCCCCCCAAAGCGGTACTGTGACGCTGCTCTTGCCTTGATGCGAGGGGGTGGATTTCACGTTATCGCGGATGTGGATGGCGTGGCGGGGTCGGGCTTGCTGCGTGTCATTACGGGAACTGCCTTATGCGCGAGCGGGACTGTTCTCGCCAATGGTGTACCTGTCGAGGCGGGTGTATTTCGTAAGGCGGTTGGTATCTTTACCAATGTGGAAGCCTACATGCCGAACCTGACAGTGGAGGAGAACATTAATTTTGTAGTCTCAATGCGGACAAATGTGACTGGAGAGGCAAGGGAGGGGTTGGTGGAGGCCGCCTGCGTTCTGACTGAGTTGGATCGGCATAAAGTCGCAAAGTTGCTTTCGCCTTCAGAGGCGTTTCGTCTTCGTCTTGCGATGGAAATCGTAAGAGATCCCCCTGTTATTGTTGCGTATTACCCCTTTGATTGCATGGAACATGCTGATGCCTCAGAGTGTAGTGCGGTCTTGAAGCGACTAACAACAGTACTGGAAAAGACGGTTATAGTTTCAACAACGACACTTTCTTCTTATTTATTTGAGGTCACAGATGCATTGTTGTTGCTGGGACGTGGAGGATGCGTTCTATACTCTGGCGACGCCGCCACGATGCCGCTATACTTCAATGGTCTTTATGCTTCCCTCAATTCATCATCTGCTCCTTACGTTAACGTGTCACAAGGTGCTAGTCCGGGTTACAGCAACACTTCAACCCCATACCGAGTGACTGATTTTACCTCTTCAGCAAGGGAGGGCAGCTATAATGGGAGCGATGCACGTCATATTTTGTCTTCGCTATCATTGCGAATACAGGAGTCGAGGGCGGCAGCGAGAAACACCTTTGTTTCGTGCGGGGATGACGCTTTAGATCTTGCTACACTTTGGGCCGAGTCCCAAACTGTTACTGAGTTTTACGCTGCTAAGTTTTACAACTCACATCTGCGCCGTCGAGTGTTTCAGACCATTATGCGTTTCTCTAACCCGCCTCAGCATGTCTCTGATGTGGCACCATTCACGAGTACAGTACCGTCTCAGTACGCAGTATTAAAACCATTTCTTCTTTGGTGGTATGATGCTATGCAAACATGGCGAGATTCTGAGGTTTATGCTCACCTTGCTTTGTTATCGCTGGGGTTGTTGGTGATTGCGTTGCTGATGCAGAACCAGAATGACGACCAGGGGGGTATGTATAATATTAGAGGCATGCAGTTTGTGTTGTTTCTTCTTACCATGCTGGCGAATACAACAACTATGGGTGACGTGGATCACCAACTGCGTCTTTTTTTTCTTCAACGCGACAACGGACTTTATGGCACAGCTTGCTTTATGATAGTTTTTCTTCTCCGTACTGTGTTTGTTCGGGTGGTATACTTGGCATTTTTCATTCCAGTTGTGATATACGTGCTGAAGATGAGTTACACGTTTTTCCTTCTCGTTGGCGCCTTAAGTGTCACACAGGTGTTGTTACACGTAACTGTGCATGCATTGGTGCCTCGTAATCGTTTGGCACTCATAGTGCTTCGGTTATATCTGGGATACAATGCAATTTTCTGTGGCTTCTTGCTGAACCTGACAACGATGCCATCGATGGTTGGGAAAATGAGTATACTTCGTTGGAGCTACGGTGCCGCGTTGGCGCAGAGCCTGCGGGACATGCCGTTTAGCTGCGACGGTTCAGGAAACACATCTTATTGCTACAGTGGAAACACGTATCTGGCGCTTGAGGGGTTTTCGGACGAATCCACAGAGCGATCATTGGTAGTGTTTAGTGTGATGTGTGGCATGCTAATAATACTCATGGGGATTGCTTTGGCGTGTAGAAAGTAGCACCTCTCTGGGTTGAGGGCAAGGAAATCCCCTTAGTTGTCGCTTCTGACGTCCTAATATTCTATCCCTCTTTTTTTGTTTGTTCTTGCTCGTGTACATGAAGTTTCTGGGTTTGGGAGATTGCAAGGGGAATACCTGTGCCGTACTGATGTGGGTTACGAACACCCCACAGTAGGACCCTTTCTTACCGGTTTATTACTTCTGGGGCCCTCACAAGAGGTAAGCCTTCAGGTTCCTTTCTCCCCCCCCCCCCCCCGCCTCTCTATCTTTTTCTCTCTCTCTCTCTTCTTACATGGTAGGCGTGTTGACGGCACCTGTGGAGCAGCTCATTATCGGCAGGAATTTAAGGATGTGAGATGATGCGGAGGAGCCGTGTTGGGCTTCCTCGGTATCAGCTACTGCAGTGAACATACGTACTGTGCCATTCACGGAGGCATGTAGAAATAGGCTAAATGATGAGCATTATTTTTTTTCCTTGGCACTCTTTTTTTTTTTTCAGTCCTTCCTAGGAGAAAACTGGGGCCTCGAAGACTCTTTTTTTTGCTCATTCCACGCGGTGGTGTGACAAAAAAAAAACATAAACAATACACCGAAAGGAAGTTAGCACGATGAAACAGAGTTTACGTGATAGTTATGCGCGAGGCATGGGCAATAATGACACGGACACCGGCGCAGCATACGGCACTTGCGACGCGTCAGTCGTGATTCTACAGCGTTGCGCAGGCAAAAAACGAGAACGGACTCCGCGTTTCAAGTCCGTTTCATCTGGGGAGGCTTTCACAGAGAACAATGGTCACATCGATGTAGTGGAACACAGCAGCCGACTTTTGGAGTTTTTGCGCCTGCGTCGGCAGCAGCGGTGTGACAATAGATCCCTCTTCCACACAGAAGACCCTGATGGAAGTGATGAAGTTGTATCCACTCTGAAGCAGAGTGAATCGCACTCAGCGCCGCCCATTTCCTTTTCTTTAGTCGAATTGCCTAAGGCAGAAAAGAGTGAGACGCAAAGTAATGGCTTTCGATGCGGTGGCGAGTCGCTGCTGCAAGAGGGATCCTCTCTTCTTCGTCCCCAAGCAGCAGTTCGTAGTACGGCCACGCAAACACAGGCGGAAACGCAGTTAGGTTCCTCTGATTCGAACGATCAGATGGCGGTTTCCTCTTTAACAAAAGCTGATTTGTTGATGCTTCGGCTGTGCGAGTTGGACGCTCTGCTTCACATATTTTTTTCTTGAGGCCGTTTTCTCGGCTTCGAGGTTCACTTTTCCAGTGTGGTTATGGATGCCTGTGAAGGCTGATTGCCGCGGTGTTTCCCTCACTGATACCACGTACCTTTTTTTCTTTCCTTCTTCCATCTTTTTTTTCTCTCTTTTTTTTTTTTGAACTTATTTTTTAAATTACTTTTGTCGTGTCTATGTGTGGGCTTGTGTCTTTGTGGCAGTTTGACACTCTTTGGATTCTCCCTTTTTCTTTGTTGACCGCGTTGGCGGTATTCTCCCACACTGCCAACAACGCATATACATATGTAGACACGTTGCTTTTTTATTTTTATTTTTCATTACTCTTCCTGAAGAGGTGGTTACTTGTAAGGGAAACCTGTGACCAGGTTAGGCGAAGTGGATGATGCCGCGTTGGAAGCCAGTGTGTGCAGTTTCTTACTACCCCTCCCCACTCCCTAACCTCCCACTGCAGCTGCCCTCCTCACGGAGGGAGTATGGCGGGTGCGGAGCCTCAAAAGCTTCCAACTTCTGAGTTTGACGCGGAGGCCCAGCTATCATTGTGGCGTGTGTGTTTGTGAATGCGCTTCTTCCATGCAGTGTGAGTGTGCGTGTGTGGGGCTAAATATTTGCTTCAGTTTGTGTGTGTGTGTGTGTAATTTTGGGCGCAATGGGTTCCAATTGTTATATTCTTTTAGTTTTTCATTCTGCTTAGAAGTACTGTAGACAAGGCATTAGCCAGGTACATATTTTGAAGTGAGAACGACCCAAAAGGATGAGCACCTTGACACTTAAACATTACTCCCAAATGGAGGCGGAGCGGCGCTTTCGGCTTCCCACTAGACGGGATCTTTTTCACCAGCGCATTCCGACAGTCAGAGAGGGTGATGCAAAGCAAAAAATGGAGGAAATACGTCTCTACGTGCACAACACCATGGAGCTGTATGAAAAGGTCTTTGAATGTGTGGGAACGGAAGAGGGTTTTTTTGTGCAACCAGTTCACAAGCTTCGCCATCCGTTGATTTTTTACTACGGTCACACCGCCTGTTTTTACATCAACAAATTGTGCGCGGCCGGGTTTTTTAAGCGCATTAACCCAAGGTTTGAGGAAGCTTTTGCCGTGGGCGTGGATGAGATGAGTTGGGATGACCTTAACGAGGAGCACTACAGCTGGCCTACCGTGGATGAGGTGACGGAATACCGTCGGGCCGTCCGCGACCACGTCAATGAGTTGATATCCAGTGGAGTGTACAAGCTGAATCTTCCCCTGACCTTTGAGAACAGTACAGCGAGCCTGGATAATTCCTTCTGGTGGGTGATACTTATGTGCGCTGAGCATGAGCGTATTCATGTGGAAACTGCGTCCGTGCATGTGCGGGAGCTTCCCATGCGATTTATCAATCCCGCTATGTCTTCCTTCTGGCAACGATGCCACGAGGTGAGTTCAAAGGCTCCTGTAAATGAACTAATTGAAGTGGGCGGCGACAAAGTGCACGTTGGGCGCGAACCGAATTCTTCAGTCTACGGGTGGGACTGTGATTACTCCGACGGGAATTACGTCATTGAAATACCCACGTTCAAAGCGAGCAAATATGTTGTTTCGAATGCGGAATTTATGGCCTTCATAAAGGCAGATGGCTACAATACACAACGCTACTGGGATGAAGAGGGTTGGAAATGGGTGCAGTGGAAAAAGCCCCAGCACCCGTGGTTTTGGGTTCGTGATGAGTCTCGCCCCGACGGCTACGCACTTCGTCTTCAGACCGAGTTAATTGACTTGCCGTGGAATTGGCCATGCGAAGTAAATAATCTCGAGGCGCATGCGTTTTGTAGGTTTAAGAGTGAGAAAACTGGAAATAATATTCGAATGCTGACCGAGGCAGAATGGTTGCTGCTGTGGGATAGGCATGTGGGTAAGGATCAGATGTGCTGGGAGAATAAGGCACCTGGAAATCTCAATCTGGAGCACTTTCAAAGCAGCTGCCCGGTGGACAAGTTCCAGCATGGAAGTTTCTTTGACATTGTTGGTAATGTTTGGCAACACTGTGAGACAAAAGTATACCCCTACCCCGGCTACAACGTTCACCCTTTTTACGATGATTTCTCAATGCCCACTTTTGATGGTCGTCATGCATGCATGAAAGGTGGGACATGGGTCAGCAGCGGAAACGAGGCCACGCGGGACGCCCGTTTTGCCTTCCGCCGCCACTTCTTCCAGTACATTGGCCTCCGCTACGTGGAGGCCGCTCCGGCGAACGAGGAGCGTTACTACCGGAGTGTTTTGGGACTTGACCCCGAGGTTGACGTACTAACCGAGGTGAGCTTTGGCGAGCCCGTTAATGGTATTCCAAACGGCTGCGTTAAGATTGCAGAGTACGCCATAGCTCAGTTCAAGGCTTATGCCAAGGTTGAGGCAAGGTGTGCACTGGATTTTGCCTGCGGAGCTGGTCGGGTGTCCTTTGAGATGTCCGCCTTTTTTGGACGGGTGATTGGCGCGGATTTTACGGCCCGTCACCTTATTCCGGCGTATGCCCTGCTGGAACGGGGTACATGCACATACAGCACCTTGGACGCCTCCTCACAGAAGCGTGTGGGAAGGTTGGCTGAGGCGTCAAACTATTCTTGGGGCGACACTCGTAACCGCGTCACCTTCCTTCAGTCTGATCCTGCAAACCTTCACAGTCACATGACTAACTTTTCCTTGATTGTCTGCTGGAACACGCTCGAGAGGGCCTTGGCCCCTGCCGCAGTCCCACCGCATCTGCTGGGCCGACTGGAGGAGGGCGGCCTCCTTGTCATTGGAGGTCAATATGAGTGGATTGAGGGCAGATCACCAGTGAAGGAATATTGGGATGCGACAGCTTCGTCTCGTGTGGGAATTCCAGAGGAGGAAGTGTACAAGTTGCTTGGAGCTGAATCTGCGGTCGAGCGTGTTGGGGACCCCATTGACGTGATGGTCGCGTTCCCAGCGTCGGATCGTGTGGTAAATGTAAAAAAAGTGTATTTTACCACTTACCGGAAGAAGGTGAGTCACTAAGCCCCCGGGAGCACAAACCGTTTCCGGCGGGAAACAAACGTATGTCTTTTTATATATTTAGGTTCAGTTCGGCTGGAAAGGTTTACATGCGGTGCAAAACACACACACACATGAGGTGGAGGCATGTGAAGTAAAAATTGCACTGGCTCCTTTGCCTTTTATATATTTATATATACGTCTGTGTGTGATCTGCACCTTTTTTTTGAATTGAATGCGCTGCGCAGAGGAACGAACACCAGGAGCCTTTGCCCCAACGCGGGAGACGAGGGAGCCGCTTGCCTCAAGCGGAACCAAAAAGAAGAATAGAAAAAAAGAAAAGTAGCAAGGACAACAGACGGAGAGGCGTGTGGCGCTGCTGAGGATGGCGGCGGCTCCCTCTGGCAAGTGGCTGACATTATTCAACACAAATATTTATTTTTATCCCGTGTCAGCCTAAAGCGACAGGTGCGAGGAGGACGGAAAAAAAAAATGGCGCGCCGCGGGAAGTGAAGAGAACGGGAAAACCAACAAACGCGAGGAAACAAAAAGAAGAGGAAAACCTGCGAACGAATAAAAAAAAAGGTTGAAGATAAAAACCACACACCCCATCGGGGGCAACAACAGCAAAACAAGGTGAAGAAAAGCCATCACACTTCTGAAGCCCAAAACAATACAACAAAGAAGAAGAGGGAAGGTGAATGCGGAGACTCAAATTCCCGAAAAAATTGTTTTTTTTTTTTTTTGTTTTTGGGTCTTCAGAAGCAGCAGCTCAGGGCTAAAGGCTCAGTAAATATTGGAGCCGCGAAAGCCCTTTTTAGTTCTGTGTTTTTTGCGCCTTTTTGTTTTGTTTTTGTTTACCCTCTTGTGTGCGAAGGGATGAAGCTTGGACCAGGAAGAAAGAACAATGCTCAACGCGACAGCGGATGCCATGCGGGCCAGTGGAGAAACCTGCGTTTTTTTTTTTTTTTTTACTTAGGGGAAGTTGGAAACTTTTTGTTTTTGTTTTTTCATTTACCTTTTTGTTTACTTTTTTTTTTTTATTCATGTCATTTTTGCTTTTCCCTCTCTCTTTACACACACACAGCCTTTTTTTTCCGTTTTGTTTGGATCGTTTTCCGTTGTTCGTGCATTCTGGCGTGGCGCCAGGCCTTGCAATATCGTTGCCGCTGGCTTCTGTTGAGACACGACGCCTCAATCGTCGGGGAGTATGGCGCGGGTGAGGAGGGAGAAAGGAGGGGCGTGTGTGTGTGTCTGCTGGTTTGCCGGCAGGAGCTGCTGGTTCCCTGCTTGCTCTTTCCCTTTTATTTTTGATGCGTCGGGGAAACTGCAACGGGGGTCGCATGACAAACTCTGAAAACAACTGGCGTCTCTTTTCCATCCCCTACGAGAAACAACAACGATGATAATGATAATATGGCCATCCAACACGCCTCTACTCCCACTCCGTGCTTGCGTGCAATTTGGTGTGTGCCATCTTGACCGACGCTGTTGCGTGCTACTCCTTTTGCCTTTTTATATTCCGTTGCTTGCCAGCCTTCGTCTATGTTTTTTTTCCTCGTTTTGTTTTCCATGTACACCGAGAAACGGGAAGGATGCGCCGGGGGCTGTGCCCCGCCGCGATGGTAGCCAAAAACGTGGCCAGCGTCGGAACGTGCTTTACCTCACGGTGACATGCCTCTGTTGGCGACGGCGCCACCGAGCGGGGCTTACGTGGCATAGTGGAGATGTCCTCACCGCCGCCACGTCCTGCGTTTTATGTGTCGCCAGAGGAGCGCGATGCAGATGACGCGTTGTTGAAGTTTCTTCACCGAAAGCCACGGCCAACGGGTGATGGAGCTGATGCGAAGAAGGGTGGGGTGACGACAGATGGCGCAAAGGATGACGCAGAGGACGGTGGCCTGCGGCTGAGTCCGGGATAGTCCTTCGCTCCGGAGCTGCCCCGTCGTCCTGTCCGTGTACCGCATTACATGGACGAGAAGGCTGCCGGTTTGGCCTCGACAAGTGTCCATGCAGGGCACCATCTTCTGTCTGAGGAGCCCCAACACCCCACGGAACGGCTCAGAGTAATCAAGAATGCGCCACCAGAGTGTCGAGGGCGACGAAAGGAACACCAGACGTGAATTTTCTTAAGGCGGGCAACAGAGACTCTATTTTTGAGGTTAAGGATACGCATCGGCGATGATGCGGGGCGTGTGCGTGTAGAGGCGTTTGCGAAGGGAGAAAAGAGGAGCAGGAGTGCGGGAGATACCACGCCGCAGCAGAGGCCACTTCTGCAGCAGATGGAGTTGGATCTTCATCGTCTTGTGAGTATTATTAAGGAACCTCACAATATCAACGACTTTTGGAGGAATTTCGCGCCAAGTACGGCTCGTGTGAGGCTGATACTACTTGCGCAGGTGAGAGTCGTGGTGGTGGAGGCTCGAATGGGGGTGATGCGATTGAGCGTTCCTAAACCCAGGAGGAAGTACAACGCGGACTCGAAGAACAGCCCATAGATTGTCTTCGTTTCAACAACAAGCTCAAGGTAGAGCTTAGTAGTGGTCCTAGAGCCTTTGGACCTGTAATTGTGATTCAGAAGCTGGATATGTTGCGGTTTCAGGGGTAAGCCTTTCCTCCTACCATGGAGTTGGGAAGGTTGCGCGATAGCGATGGGAGAGTGCTGAAGCCGAATGTGGATCATGGTGTGCTCAAAGATTACATGCGCCAAAACGTTTCCTCTACTATAAACACGCAGCTTGTCGGGGGGCAAGACAAACACCTTCTATATCGAACGTTGGGAATAGACGCCGTGCAGCGGCGACAGTTACGGGCTATGCTTAGTGATTTTGACCACGCCTATCGTCAAACTGCGTTTCATGTTATGATGTTATACCCCTACACGGACTGGGTGCACGTGCTCTACATGGTTTTGGCGGGCCTGGCACTTTATAATTTGCAGTCATGCTGCGGGGCGTATGAATTTTACGATGAATACCTTGGACTTGATTTGAGACAGATGCCTAGGCTAAAGAAGCCGTTTTTGGCGGGCGTCACTGTCTCATCCTCTGCTTGTGGCGAGTATAGCAACCACGCGGCTTTACCGCAATTTTTATGCGGCGGCCTATTCCCCCCGTGACTGTTCTTTTGTTGTTCGGCGTGGCGAGCTGGCTGTTGACCTGACAGAAGCATAATATGCCTTTCCCCCCTCCCCTCCTGCTATTTGTTGTTCTTGTTGTTGGTGTAGGGAGACAGCCAAGTGCTGCGCATTGAGTTTTTTGCCTCTTTTTTTCTTCCTGCATTCCTCAGAATGCATTTAATGCGTGTCCCCACCCCGCCCTTTTCTCTCCTCCTTTCTGTTTTCTCTTACTTTCGTCATTTGTTCAGCGCCCAGGAAACCTGCCTCGCCAGACGTTTTCCCTTTTTGCTGTTCTTCTGGTGGAAGCAAGGGGGAGACACTTTCGTCGGTTTGAAATTAAATCTCGCTTACTCACGTACAAAAAGAAAGGAATAGAGAGAGAGAGAGATAGAGAGTAATGGTAGTAACAGCGATAAGAGCGGGTGAAATGCAGGCACACACAGATATACGTGCCAAGCACAATGTCGATGCAGCGATACCTGCTGAGTGCCAGACGCCGCGAGTCTGAGGCACTTTCAGCTCCCCTTCGTCCGCCCTCGAGGCCACACGTGCATACGGCTTCTGAGCTCAGGCCCAGATACCGGGCGGACAACGCCCTGTGGTGAGACTGTCCACGTGGTGGTGCGTGTGCGGCCACCGTCTTCCACTGAGCCCTCGCAGGAGCTGGCTGCCACGATGGATTTTATCCCGCGAGGTCGTCGCCGCCATCAAGGGTAGGATGGAGGTCCAACGGATGTTTACCGTTGACGTGCCGATCTGGTTTTGCATGGGAACAGCACTAGGTTACTTCGCGCCGGTGACACGGTCCGTCTTGTATAAGCGGGTTGGGCGACCGCTTCTCAGGCACACACTGGATGGCTTTAGTAGCACGTTGATGACGTACTGCTAGACAGGGAGCGGAAAGACGTACACCACATGATGGGTGAGGTTGGCGCAACCGTGACGTGTAACAACGAGGGCGTGCTCAATAACAGCGAGGAGGGCATTATTTATCGCCTCTGCCAGGATATGTATCAGGAGATGCAAAACCGTTCCTTCACATCCCCCGCCGGAGAGACCATCAGCTGGGAGGTGCATGTCTTCTTTGTGGAGGTGTACTGCGAGAAGATCAGTAGTCTGTTGAATCGCAGCACACCCGGTTTCCATCGTGACGAGGTCATTGGAAATGAAATATACTTCTTCCTTACCGACGCGCGCCGTGTGCCTGTGACAAATACAGTGGTTGTTTAGCAGGCCCTAGCACTTGGGAACAGCTGCAGGAAGACAAATTTCACGTCCATGACTGAGCGCAGCAGCCGCAGTCACGCCATGTTTGTTGTGGAGCAGACTGATATTTTTATCCTTCACTGACCCGGACGCTGATGTGGCAAGTGCACTGAGTAGTAATCTGACAATTCGTTTTGTCTCCCCCCAGCCATATTACCCTTGGCGGCTGCCACAGCGGGGGCGTGCGGCCCAAGAGAGAAGGGAAGCAAAGCGGCAGGCTAGAGGGGCGAATTGAACGAATTATTTTTATGAGCAGTATAACATTCCAGTTTTTTTTTTGTTTTGTTTCTTTCTTTGCTTGCTCCATCGTCGTCTGCCCTCCCTCACTTCCTGTCAATTTTGTCTTGTGTGCCTTTGACCGACTTCCTGCGGCGGGCGGGGGACACGGCGGTTGTTGCTGTCCTCCACGAGGTACAGGGTGACGGTGTTACTTTTGCAAATGAATTGGCAAGAGAAAAATACGGCGGGAGAGGCCGCCAGTTGACGTGACGTACACACCTTCTCCCGCCATCACCTGCGTCTTTATGTTGTTTTTACTGCTTCTTTCTCCTTCCGGTGCCGTTACCCCTCTTGGCGTGCCCTGCAGGGATCCGCGCTCTTGAACACCGTTGTTGGACACACCGGCTCCACGCAACACATCCCGCACCGCGTGTTCGTCCAAGGGCGGATGCGATGAAACGCCGCGCACAGGTCGTCCACACTCGTTCTTCTTCGGTGCCAATGTCAGTCCGTGCGAGCCGCGGTAGAGAAGCGACGCCTGGTGATTTCTACGAAACATCTCTCTCTATGCCACCTGGTGGCGGCATTGCTTCCCTGCAGTCTCTCGACGGCGGCTGCGGCGGGGCGGCGTGCTCGGCGGGCACTCAGGGTCTTCACCGACATCGTGGCAAGGATGACCGGCAAAGCGCGAATCACAAGGCCGCCCCTTTCCCGTGGCACCGTCTGGAAGAGGAGTGTGGGCAGGCGGCGACTCGGCTACTGGGGCAACGCCGCCAGCATCATCATAGCCCTAGCGAACCGCAGCGGAGTTCGTCGGAGCCGGTGATGGAGATGATGGGGCTTCGTGTTGACGGCAGTAGCGAGGCGTGCGGCGACGGCAACGCGAAGGGCGACCCCGCTTTAAATGTTTTGCCGGCAGTGCCTTTGGCCTCGTCGACACGCCTACCTTCTGTTTGCACGCAAAGGGCACCGCAGCACGGTGCGGATGCCCTGCACGAAGTTGATGGCGCCCGCTCCGAGCTGCCCGAACACAAGCAAAGACGGCTGATTATTTCGCCACCTGCTGTCTTTTCCGACGAAGGTTTGGGCGAGCAACACCAACGTCAGCCTGTTAACTCTGCCGGGGCCACAGCAGACTGGATTCAGCGTGTTGTGAAGGAGGAGCTCGGCCTTGGTGGTGCCTCGCCAGCGTTGTACGTCCTCGTCGCTTCACCTTCGGCAGCCGCGGGCAACGACGCCTCCGCGGGACACCATGAAGCGAGTCCTGTGGGGCACACACAACTGCATGTAAATGTGGTCTTGCAAGGAACACCGCCATTGAAGGAGAGCGCAGTTTTTCCACCGCGGCAGTTAGCATACGATTGCTTGCCGGCGCATGTGAATGAAGCACCATTGTTGGTTGATACCATACAGATGGACATCGCGGCTCGCAAACATCAAGAGCGTCGTTTGCTTCGTACACCACCGGCACCGAAGAGTCTCTCAAGCGTTGGCTCCCCGTGGCGTCGCAGGAATGCCGTCGTAGGCTCCTGGCGCAGCCTCAGCTCGCACTGCAAACGAGCGGGAGTGCAAACCCCTGAGGTGCCATTGCTGCTCAAACAAAGCGGGGGATGCGCCTTTTGACACTTGCCGCATGAATTTAGGCTTGCGTCTACTTGATCTCCATGTGTGCGCTACTATCGTCATTTGTATGCTGTAAGGAGGGCGGATTGCCCCTTTATGTCCCTACTGCTGAGTTTGGAGGGGGGTCAACGCAATGACGACCCGACCTGCTTTTTCTACTGCTCCACTTCCGACTCTTGGCGATAAGGGTGCTTTTTTTTTTTTTTTGCTGCCGCCTGTTTTGTATCTTGTTTGAGGAGAAGCAGGAAGGGGAAAAGAAGCGTGGTGGGACCTTCACCGCACCGAGAGCGTCGATCCTTAATTATGAAGGCACCGGAAAGCACTGCCGTCAAATTTGATCCGAATCCTTTGCAGGATGTAGCGAGCCCCATCTACACACCTGGCGATGGCGCCGCAGATCTTGTGAGCCCGCCTCGCAAGTCGCGCCAAATCAATTTTGTGGATGACGGCAAGCTATTTGAGGGACACTTTACGCTGCACACAAGGGGCCTGAAGTCGCTCATTCAACTCCTTGTGGATCAGCAGTCGGAGCAGCGGGTTATCATCAATGATCTCCAGGACCAGTTGAGCACGCTGCGACAGCAAACATCTAAAATGCGCAAGGCTGTGACTCCATCCCCGATGCTTGTCGCCCGCAAAGGAAGTAGTGACTCTGGACAGCTGGTTAAGGAGCTGGAAGATCTTCGTCGCCGCGTGGCACACTTGGAAGGCTTTAGGGCACTCTGGGGAGTGCGCCCTGAAGAGGTTGAGACCCTCGTGAGTACTTATGGGGACCCCGTGGTTACGCCAGAACAATACACTGCTTACATTTTGAGTTTGCAGCCGTTTCGTCTCCTGCGGGCCGAGACTCGTGATTCTGTTGTCTCCCTCGTTGAGCGTCGTTCCTCTCTTTCGGCCCAGCAAAAGAGTGCAGAGAGAGGAGGGAAAGGTCGCAGGTCTCGTGATGAAGGATACCGCGGAATCTCTGAGAGAGACGGTCGCGATAGCCGGGACAGCGAGGATGAGGCTCGCAGTGCTGATGAGCGTGGATCCCGTGAAGACTTGCGTGCTGCCCGTGATCGTCGGGCTCGCGAGAACGAGGCTCGCGGTGCTGATGAGCGTGGATCCCGTGAAGACTCGCGTGCTGCCCGTGATCGTCGGCTCGCGA